TTAGAAATAGTAGTTCCAGTCCTCAGCTGTTATATAGTGTGTCTATATTTCTGTTCTGGAGAGAATTATTAATGATATATTTAAAATGGAATATACATGATTTTGGAATATTGACATTGATTTCTGCTGCTACCTTGGGTTGATATTCTTCTCTCAACATACAGGAGATATTTTGTTAGGGAGTCTTTTTTTCCTGGTATTTACCAAAATAAAACATATTGATTGTTAACTTTGATACCAGCTTCCTAACAATCAGAAACATTTAGATATCTATACTATATATTTAATTTATTTTAAATGCAGAGTTACAGAGAAAGAGGGAGAGACAGAGTCTTATATCTGCCGGTTCACTCTCTAAATAGCCACAATGGCTAGGGTTGGGCCAGGCTAAAGCCAGGAGTCACGAGCTTCTTCCTAATTTCCTTTGTGGGCTCAAGGGCCCAAACACTTAGGCTGTCTTCTGCTGCTTTCCCAGGTTCATTAGCAGGGAGCTGGATTGGAAGTAGAACAGCCAGGACTCAAATGGATGCTCATTTGGTATGCTGGCGCTGTCGGCGGCTTAACCCACCTAACTCTGGCACCAACAAAGTAAATCTTATTTATTAGAACTTTATGGCTGCGCTGTGGCTCACTTGGCTAACCCTCTGCCTGCGGTGCTGGCACCTCAGGTTCCAGTCCTGGTTGGGGCGCCGGATACTAGTCCCAGTTGCTCCTCTTCCAGTCCAGCTCTCTGCTGTGGTCCGGGAAGGCAGTGGAGGATGGCCCAATGCTTGGGTCTCTGCACCCTGGGAGACCAGGAGGAAGCACCTGGCTCCTGGTTTTGGATCGGCCTTGGTGGCCATTAGGGGAGTGAACCAACGGAAGGAAGACCTCTCTCTGTCTCTCTCACTGTCTATAACTCTCTCTGTGTCTCTCTCTCTCACTGTCTAACTCTGCCTGTCAAAATAAAATAAAATAAAATAAAGAACTTTAAAATTAGTAGGTGCTGGCTAGAGGCTGGCACTGTGGTGTAGCAGGCTAAAAGCCACTGCCTGCAACCCTGCATCCCATATGGATACCAGTTTGTGTCCAGGTTGCTCCATTTCCAATCCAGCTCCCTGCTAATGCACCTGGGAAAAATGCGAAACATGGCCCAAGTATAGTCCTTGAGTATTTGCAAAATTACTTCTGTGAAATATATGAAGAGTCTTCAGAAAGTTCATGGAAAATGTGTATTATGAAAACTCTACATGATTTTCAAAATTGTTTAGCAAAAATAAGCTTATTTGTAAACTATGTTAATTTATTTGAAAGGCAGAGTGACAGAGAGAGGGGGAGAGAAAGAAAAGAGAGAGATCTTCCATCCACTGGTTCAGTCCCTCAATAGCCGTAAAAGTCAGGGCTGGGCAAGGTGAAAACTGGGAGCCAAGAACTCCATGCTGGTCCTCCCACATTGGTGGGTGGGCGGGGGTTGGGCAGGTATGCTGGATCAGAAATGGGAGCAGTCAGGATTCCAACCAGCGCACAGATATAGGATACTGGTGTTGCAAGTGGTGTATTAACCCGCTATGCCATAGTGCTATCTTTTGTTGGTTCTTTTCAATATTTTATTTTTAGAAAAGCTTTAAATTTACAAAACAAAAAATGTGAAGTAGTAATATAAAAGATTTCCCATATACCCCTCATACCAGATCCCTATTATTAACATCTCAAATTAGTATATTTATCACAATGGACCATACCCAGTTTCCCCTAGTTTTTTATTCAAATTTCTTCCTTTTTCTTGTTCTACCACTAAGGCTCTAGTAATCAACTTTCTGTATTCTGTGTTAAGTTTTTTTTTTTTTTTTTTTTAATTTTTGCTCTGGCATATGAGAGAGGTTGTGTGATATTTTTCTGTGTCTGGCTTATTTCTCTCTCTCTCTCTCTCTTTTTTTTTTTTTTAATTATTCATTTGAAAGACAGAAAGAGAGAGATATCTTCCATCTGCTGATTCACTTCCCAAATGGCTGCAATGGCCAGGGCTGGGCCTGGCAGAAGCCAGGAGGCAGGAGCTTCAGGTCTCCCATGTGGGATTATGTTGTTCTGTAAACTTTCTTAGATACTCTTTTATAAATGTTCGTATTCTGTAGATTGAAGAATGAGTGTTTGCTGTGTGTAGGCGCTGTACCAAATCTGGTCTTTCTAGATGCCGTCTCCTTTACAGCCCACACTGACTCTTGTCTCCACAGCCCCTAAATGTTTAAGTTCTGTGATACTGTCTTTCAGTCGTGGCATTTGTATCAAATTCAATGACGTTAACATAGAATCTCACCTTAGTGGATGATAGTCTTTCGTGAAAATTTTATATTTAGTGTTTTTTGATACTTCCTGGAAAAAAACAAATTAGAACTAACATGATGCTAATTTTTTTGAACCTGTGAGTAAGTTGGGCATTATTCCAGTTTTACTATTGAACATATTCAACCAGGATTAATTTGTGTAAATTCACCCTCTGGTTTGACTAAAAAGGCATTTGTATATAAAAGCACTGTGTATGAAGTTTTTTGCCATTAAAAAAAAAGATATTTATTTGAAAGGCAGAGAGTGACAGGGGTTGGGAGGTGGATAGAGATGGGGCGAGGGGCAGAGAGGGAGAGAGAGCTCTTTCATCCCCTTGTTCACCCTCAGATGACTAGGGATAGGCCAGGCCAAAGCCTGAAACAGAGAACTCTATATGAATCTCCCGTGTGGGTTGAAGGAGTCCAAGTAGTTGGGCCATCATCTCCTGCTTTCTCAGGCACATTAGCAGGTTGCTGAATTGGAAGCAGAGCTGCTGTGACTCCAACCGGTGCTCTGATATGGGACCCGGAGTTGTGAGTAAACCAGTGTGCCAGCTTTCTGCCATTTTATTAATTTAAAAAGTTATCTATAGGATAATTTTTGCCTTAAACAGATAGAATAAAAGATATTATGTATACTTGTAGAAGAGAGATTTTGGGAAAGCACCTGAACACTAGAAAATGAGAAAGTCTGCTTGAAAAGAATATAGGTGAAAAACCTAAGTTAAACTCATGGGCTTACCTTGCTTTGAAATAGGAGATCTGGGGGCCAGCGACTGCAGTGCTGGCATCCCATATGGGCGCCAGTTCAAGATGCTGCTGCTTCACTTTCTGATCCAGCTCTCTGCTATGGCCTGGGATAGCAGTAGAAGATGGCCCAAGCCCTTGGGCCCCTGCACCCGTGTGGGAAACCCGGAAGAAGCTCCTGGCTTCAGATCAGCGCAGCTCTGGCTGTCGTGGCCAATTGGGGAATGAATCAACGGATGGAAGACTCTCTCTACCCCTCCTCCTTCTCTCTCCACCCCGCCCCGTCTCTCCCTCTCTTCCTCTCTCCCTCCCTCTGCCTCTCCTTCTCTCTGTGTGTAACTCTGTCTTTCAAATAAATAAAATCTTTAAAAAGAAAGCGATCTGGCTTTTCTCCAACCTGTGGTTTTTCTATCTTCTTTCCTCATTTTCTTTTGTCATGAAAAATGTTGTGATATTTACTACAGTAATATTTTTAGCATGAATAACATGTAAAATTCCTTGAGAACTTGAGTAAATGAGATAATTCTTATTAATTATGTTAACTGTTGCTTTAGGGGAGCTAAGGAGTAAATTGAAACCAATTCCATGATGTTTATAGCAAAGTCAATTTTAACTGTCTAGAGAGTATTCTGATTTCAGTTTGACAATACCTACATAATCATTTAAATTATTTGCTGAGTTGGTGAGTTCTTTTGCTTTTGTTATTTTTGAAAATTGACAGCACTCTTCTACCTAGAAAACTTTCAGTGCTTTGAGGCCGGTGCTGTTGTGTAGTGGGTAAAGCTGCTGCCTGCGGTGCTGGCATCCCATATGGGTGCCGGTTCTTGTCCCAGCTGCTCCGCTTCCAGTCTAGCTCTCTGTGGCCTAGGAAAGCAGTGGAAGATTGCCCAAGTGCTTGGGCCCCTGCACATGTGTTGGAGACCCGAAGAAACTCCTGGTTCTTGGCTTCAGATGGGCCCAGCTCTGGCCGTTGTGGCCATTAGGGGAGTCAGCCAGCGGATGGAAGACCTCTGTGTGTGTGTGTGTGTGTGTGTGTGTGTGTCTCTCTCTCTCTCTCTCTCTCTCTCCACCTCTGCCTCTCTGTAACACTGCCTTTCAAATAAATAAATAAAAATCTTTAAAATATATAGAAGAAAAATGTCAGTGTTTATCTGTAGCCTAAGACTATTAGGGAACATTAAGGCAATCTGATCCCTAGGGGAGGTTTAAACAGGTACCTCAGCATACCTGCGGGGTGTCCTGCAGGTCAGAGAATGGAGAGGGCTCAGAGCTTGGGAAAGTGGCTGTCTCTGCTTCTGCAGAATTACATCTTTTGGTTGTTTAAATTAGTTTCTTTAGTAGCTCAACTTTGATATAACACAAAATAGACTCCAGAGCCACATGAAAATACCTTTTTGTTTTACCACTCCTAATTTATTCTCCATCTATTTGATTCTCTTGCCTTAATCACATTAGTGTGGATAATTGAAGAGGTGATGACACCACAGATTTTTAGCCTAGAATTTTCTGACTCAAGAATTTGATCACATTTTGTGTTTATGATTCAACTTCACAGCCAGTGTTTTATTCAGTGAAAAGGTTTATTAAAAACTCCTTTTCCTTCATCTTGCTTTCCTGTTTCCTTCCTTCTAAAGAATGTCAGGCCCTCTTTCATTGTATCCCTTAAATTCCACCTTGTATTTAGTCCCGGGGGTCTACCTTAGGAATCACTAATTTTTAAGATGTGAGTGAGTGTTCTGCCTCTTAAAAGCTGAAGTCCCTGGGGGCTCTTCAATAAAAAGGTGGCAGGATAATGCCATTGCTAAACTTTGTAAAAACAGAACTTTTTAAAAAAAGTGCTTTAATCTTTAAATTGCCATAGTTAAGATTTTGTTAGCTTGTCCTATACATAGTCTAAATGGGAGAATGCTAATTTGTCTATTTTTTATAGTATTTGGTGTTTTTTGTCAACAGGATGAAGGTAGATAATGACTATAATGCCCTTCAAGAAAGACTCAGTACCCTGCCTGATAAGTTGTCTTATAATATCATGGTAGGTTTACTGTGTTTCTTTTAAAGTAGTACATTGTTTCTTGTAAACATATTAACTATGTAAAATAATGTGTTTTTGTGCTATGTGTGTATGGGTTCACAAATTGCCCTGCTCATGGACTGTATCAGATAACCAGCATACTGTAGAAAGTTTGCTTTGTTTCACTTTTAGCAATATAGCAGCTATAGACATAGTTGGTGTTTATTTTTTTTCCATACATATATAATAATTTCATATATTACATTATGGTGACATAATGACAAAAATGTTATCAAAAAATTTGACATATTTGATGTGCATACTTACTACATAAAAAACTATGATTATGACAGAAATATAGCACTGAGTCATTTCCTGTTAGCCAGAGTAGGGAAAGGCCATAATGTTTTGTAATTCACAGATTTAAACCTTAGAACATTGATTTTTATATAAAAGGTGCTGCTAATTTTTGTTTTAATGATCTTCATGCCAACACAATGTTCTGTTCATGAGCTCTGAATTAGAAGCTTTCATTGCATAAATATTCTCATGAAGTCTTTGTTTCTCTTATTCAAGCCCAGATAACTTTTGTTAGGTAAACTCATTAAAGTTATTTGTTTAGTAATTCCTGCTGTGCAAAAAGTGACTATTTTATTGGAAATAATTTTGTTTTCCTTATCAGAAATACTCTACATTGATAATATTTCAGTAGTTTACTGTTGTTTAGATTTAAGAATTAACAAAAAGTATAACCATGCAGAGACAGTACTGTTTTTTTAATAACTGTTTGTAAATATGAAAATTTATTTTTCTGTCTTAACATTGGCTTATTAAACTAGTTTTCTATAGATTGTCCTAGTGAAATTTTAATATAATATTAATTTTTTGTAAAGTTGTTATTTTCTTTTTCCCAGTGTATAGATTAAAAATAACTCAATGTAGAGCTTTTATGCTAAGTATTTCATAAAGTATATTTTTTACTATTTAAAATTTTTTGCCTTTTTCTTTTTTTTTTTTTTGAACAATAGGTACCATTTGGCCCCTTTGCCTTCATGCCAGGAAAACTTGTCCATACTAATGAAGTCACTGTTTTACTTGGGGACAACTGGTTTGCAAAGTGCTCAGCAAAACAGGCTGTAGGTTTAGTTGAGCACCGGAAAGAACGTAGGTACCAGTTATAAATGGTGTTTCTTTGTTATGTATGTCTTTTTTCACAAATTGACTACCCGATAGACTTTATTAACAAAAGTACCTTCTGAAGTTGATTGTGGGTAGTTTAAGTTGGACCAACATTTGAGAGTAGAGTGAAACTTCTGGGTTGGAAATATCACTGACATTGGCTTATTTTCAAAAATTACAAAGTGTATTTATGTGTAGTTTTGTAGTAGAGGTTGGGAAAACAAAAGTTTTAGAGACATTTTGTGCTTTATAATTGGTTTGTTTTAGTTGCTTTTATGGACTGAATTTTGCTTTTAATACTTTAATATTCAGAAGGAATTTACTTTCTTCTTAGTGAACTAATAGAAATACTGTTTACCAAAGTTCTTAAAAATGTTTTTTGATTGGGAAGAAGTCAATTTTTTTTTTTTTAAATAGCCCAGGTGAGGAAAGGTACACTACCTAAAATGACATTCTTATACTTTTTTGGTGGTTTGAGAGCTTGGACTCATTAAAATTTAGTTTTGTTTATCGATGATGTTATATTTTGGTGTATGTATATGCCTAAGCCTACACAACGCATGCTTGTACATGCACAGGCCTCCCCCCCACCTTTTCTAGTTAGATAGGTTAGCTCGAGTTCTCACTTAATTGCATTTTAAAATTAAATTTATTTACTTTCTAATTGGTATTCTTATTTCTCTACGGGTATTTAAATTGATAGTATAGTATCACCGCTACCTGCTTTTTAACCTTCTAGTTAAATATGTTTGAAAATAAATTTTGTAAGGATTATTCTGTATAAATGAGGTCATACTAGATAGAAAGCAGCTGAATTTTCTAAAACTGAAATTATTTCACTTACACATGAGTGAGTACTAGTTAGAGAACTCATTTACTTAGTGAAATTCTGGGAACTGTATTTGGAGACTAATTGCAAGGCAGCTTCTATAAATTTATAATTGATACATATTTTGATCTTTTGTGACAACTAATCAGAATTTTATTGTTAGGACTGTATATAATTCTGGCAATGATAAGTCTCTTGGGTTTGCTACACTAAGATAAGCCTCATGTGTTAGATGAAAGAGAATGGGCATGACTCTGAGAGACCTATCTTAAGGAGAAGGCTTGCTTTATTTAGTGGAGTAATACTGCTGATAGGAAATCAGTTCTGGTCTGTCAAAAGCTTGTTCACTTTGATTTTCATATTTCAGTGAAGAAATCTTTAAAATTAGGTATGACAAAGTATTAATGATGGAATACTTTTAAATACAATAGAGTAGAGCTCTATAACAGGCTTGCTATTTATTTATTTATTTTTGGTAAATCACTTTCCAGTAATTAAATATGGTTTTAGGAATTGATCAAACATCATGACTTTGGGATAAGTATTTACCCAAAATAATTTTCAAGGTACATATTTATGTGTCTAAGAATCTTAACTGTATTCTAAAAAATTATTCACATAGCTTGATTTTGATTTATAATAACTGAAAAAAAATACTTAGGTGCATTGTTAAACTTAACATTTGTTAAGAAAAGTTACAGTAGTTCCTTTACCCTCTGGAGATATGTTCCAGAAACCCCAATGGATGCCCAAAACTGCATTATAGAATATTATATAATTATAGAATATTATATAATTTAGTGCCTTGTTCATTTTAACAAAGTACTTACTTTGTTTTAAATCTTAAGCAGTTTGATGTTTGATAGAAATATAGCCTAATTTCCTTTTCTTTTTTCACAATATCATGGATAGAAGATTCTTGCTTACCTTAGCAAATGATTTTTTTTTTTTTCTTATTTGTCAAGAGCTTTCACCTTTCCTCTTAAGTAGGAAGTACTTTATGGCTTTCCTTTGGTATTTCTGAATTGCCAGCATCACTCCTCTTATGTTTTGGGGCAATTAAGCAAAATAAGGGTTACGTAAACATTTTGATGGCCAGAATTTCTACCAAGTGAACAAGGCAAGGGGGCTAGCATATAGTTCATGAATCTGCCAGACAAGAGGGACAGTTAGGTCGGGGACTCATGCTGCACTGTACATTGCAATTCAGAACTTTTAAATGAATTATTTCTTTTGACCATAGGAAACTGAAACCATGGAAAACAAAACCCCAGAAAAGGGGAGACTACTGTATTTTATTATTCTTAAGGCAGGAGAAATATAACAACTTAAACATTATGTAGTCCCTTATTTCACGGTTGGTGAGAGCAGTTGGGGAAGGTGGGAGGAGGTTATTGAAAGTCAGAAGAGTGGTCAGGATGAGGGACAGAATGGGCTTGACACCACCACCAGCAGAGGACTGCCAGGGGAAGGGGGCTGTGAGGTCAGAGGAAGATGATCTCTAAGGAAAAGAGGGCTGGGGCCGGCGCCATGACGCAGTAGATTAATCCTCTGCCTGTGGTGCCGGCGTCCCATGTGGGCACTGGTGGTGGTCCCGGCTGCTCCTTTTCCAATCTGGCTCTCTACTGTGGCCTAGGAAAGCAGTAGAGGATGGCCCAAGACCTTGGGCCCCTGCACCCATGTGGGAGACTGGGAAGGGGCACCTGGCTCCTATCGGCGTAGCTCTGGCCATTGCAGCCATTTGGGGAGTGAACCAACAGAAGGAAGAGACCTTTCTTTTTGACTCTCCCTCTCACTTCTGTAACTCTCTCTCTCAAATAAATAAATAAAATCTTCAAAAAAATTTTAAATAAAGGAAAAGAGGGCAAAGCTACTCTTTGTGCCCATATTTTATGTATTTTTGTGTATTTTGCCATTTAGTAAGAATATGACTATCTCGCATTTTTTTTTAATTATGCAATAACATTGACTTTTTATTTGCTATACTCCTTTGTTAGTATCACAATTAGGATACAAAATAGAATACAGGATACAACATGACTAGGTCACAGAATCACACCAAAATTCTCTTGTGCTGTACCTGTTTGTGACACCCTACATCAGTCCCTGAGGCTTGACAACCATCGATCTGTTCTCTATCGCTGTTAATGTTGCTTTTTCCAGAATGTCATATAAATGGACTCCTGTAGACTCTTTTGAGATTAGCTTCTTTCAGTCAGTGTAGTGTCTCATCCAAACTGTTCTAGGTATCAATAGTTCATTCCTTTTTATTGCTGAATAGTGTGTTCTGTTATATGCATATCTGTTAAAATCATGTAAGTTCTGTTCACCTGTTTAAGGGCATTTTGGTTTCCAGTTTTTGGCAATTATGAATAGAGCTGCTCTAAATCTTTGTGTGCGTGTTTTTTGTGTGAACATAAATGTTCATTGTTAGTAAATATCTACAGTGGTATTGCTAGGTCATGTCAAAAGTATGAGGATACTTTTTCAGAATGTTTGTGGAAAGTAGAATTAAAATATTGACTTAGGCCGGCGCTGCGGCTCACTTGGCTAATCCTCCGCCTGCGGCGCCAGCACCCCGGGTTCTAGTCCCAGTTGGGGCGCCGGATTCTGTCCTGTTGTTCCTCTCCAGTCTAGCTCTCTGCTGTGGCCCAGGAAGGCAGTGGAGGATGGCCCAAGCGCTTGGGCCCTGCACCCGCATGGGAGACCAGGAGGAAGCACCTGGCTCCTGGCTTCGGATCTGTGCAGTGTTCCGGCCGTAGTGACCATTTGGGGGGTAAACCAACGGAAGGAAGACCTTTCTCTTTGTGTGTGTGTCTCTCTCACTGTCTAATTCTGCCTGTCAAAAAAAATTTGATTTATTATAGTTCAACAAATTTTAAATCTGGATGGCTTTTAAATAACACATTTTTTTATGAACTTTTGAAGACCCCCCCCCCCCCCCGAAAATACTCAGTTTTTAAGACACAATCACACAAACAAGCTGTTTTCCTTCGTGGCTGTATGACTTCCTTTCCACCAGCAGTGTCTGTGAGTTCTCAAAGCTCTGTGTTCTTAGTACTAGTACTAGCACTGAGTGAGTGTTTTACAGTTGTCTTGTGCATTTCCTATTGGCTCTTATTGGTGAGCAACAGTTCATTCATTTATTTACTACTCTGTATCCTCATTTATCTGCTGCAATCTTTAACCCTTTTTAAAAATTGTTTTATGTTTTTTTACTATGGAGTTTTGAAAATTCTTTATATATTCTGAATATAAGTCCTTTGTTGAATATATGACTTGCAAATACAAATGTTTTCTTGTATTCTGTATCTTGTCTTTTCATTCTCTTAACATTGCCTTTTCTGGAACAAGAGCTTTAAATTTTGAAGTCAAATTTATCACTGTTTTTTCTTAGATGGGTCATGTATTTGGTATCATATCCAAGAACTCTTTGCCTAGAACTGATTTTCTTTTATATTTTAAGTTAGTTTTTGTATGAGGTGTGAGATTTAGGTCAAGGTTCATTTTACTTGCAAATGGGTGTCCAGTTATTCCAACACTGTGGTTGAAAATACTATCCTTTCTCTTTTGAATCAACTTTGCATCTTGGTCAAGAATGATTTGGAGTCAGGACCATAGGAGATAATCCATTAGGATGGCTAATAATAAAATAAAAATAAATAATAAAATGATAAACATTTAATAGCATGTATGTGGAAAAATTGGAGCTTTCAGAGTGGGAGCATAAACTAGTGTAGTCATTTTGGAAAACAGTTTGGAATTTTTCAAAAAGTTAAAGATTAAGTTGTCATATGACTCAGCAGTTCTACACCTAAATAATCTTGTGTGTGATTGGAGTAAAACTTGTTCACACAAAAATTTGTGTACAAATGCTAATAGTAGCATTCATAATAGCCAACAAACGGGAACAGTTCAGATGTCTATCAACTAATGAATGGATAAGTAAAATAAGATGTCATATATTTATATTTATATAATGGAATGTTTGGCAATACAATAAAGTGCACCTTGAAAACATTATGTTAAGTGAAAGAAGCCATTCACAAGAGACCAAATATTGTATGATTCCATTTATATGAGATGTTCAGAATAGGTGAATTTATAAAACAGAGAGTAGATTACCAGTAGCTTAGGGCCAAGCAGGTAGAGGGGA